ACCGAACCAAGTGGCTCTCCCTTCACCGTGCCCATCTTAACCGTCTCCTCTACTAGCTTGTTCAACACGCTTCTTTGTGAAAGCAGCGCCGTGCACTCAGATTCTATGGAATCCTCCAGCCTGATTGATTTCATTCTCCTCAGTTCACCTGCACTCTCCAAACGCTGTATTTTCTTTATTAAAGATGATTTGATCTCAGCTTTTATTACATCTCACCCACCGAGCACCCAGAACGAGACACAGATGAAGATAGGAAAGGATTCTATTTCATGAGGCAGGTTTGCTTGAAACATGAAATCAGAGAAAAGAAACCTCATGAAATGTAGGTAGGGGATACAAGGGACAAAGGAGTTATATGAAGGAAGAAAAATTGGCAATGGAGGCAAACTAAGTTGCAAAAAGACTAACCGGGGACATGCTTACTCTAGGAGAGGCTGCTGTGTGCTCTGAAAGGCTCCTGTGTTGGAGGCTTAGTGTGCAGCTGGTGGGGGGACTCGGAAGCGGCAATGCAGGGCCTGGATGAAGGAAGTAAACTGAGGCACATTCTTGATGGGGACACAGAGATCCTGCCCTTTCCCTTCTCACCCCCAGCTGTCATGGTGGGAGTGGCTCTCTTATAGCATGTACTCTCCCATGATGTCCGCCACCAACTCAGGCGCGGTGTGCTAGGGACCAGCTGCCGGAGCAGATCACCAGACAGAGAAGCCACACTCACCTGTCAGTCAGGCTTCCGTCACTGTTTATACCACACTGTCCTTGCCTAGCATGCCCTGTCTTCCTATACTGATGGTATGAACAGATTCTCTCCCTTCCCAGGTGAGCACTCCAGCACAGGAAGCAGAGAAGAGAGTGTGTCAGGGTGCACTGTTGACCCAAACCTGAACGGTTTCCATTCTACTCCTCCTGCCTTTACTGCATGCAGGCCATGGCTGGTAAGTGAACCGTGACCAGACCTGTGGCTCCCTGTGGAGTGGGCGGAGCTGACATCCTAGGACTCTCAAATGAGCAGAACCTACTAATGAGAGGTCCCTCTGCTTTTCCTCAGTGTTGACTCACCATCTTATAATCCCTGGCTTTCACATCTGCCTAGAATTGTAGTTTTGACCATTCCGACTATTGAATATTCATAACTATTTTAATTTTTACTACCACATGCATTACACATCGGATAATAAAAAACAGCAAACTTGCTTAATCCTCCTATTATATAGGTAGGGATTTTTATCCTTATTTTGGATGAAGGAATGGAGACCCAGGGGTTAGGAGGTCCCCAGGGCTCTGGAAGTTCAGGCGGTGGGAACGCCTGTGCCACTCTCCCCCTCCCACCCAGCTCCCCTGCACCGATCCCTTCAGGTCTAGATTTCAGTTTCATGCCTGGTTCCTGGGACCAAACGAGTTCTAAGTTAGAAAGAGTTGAGTGGTCACTACTCTCCCCAGTGAGTGAAATGAGCCACCTCACTCTATGCCTGCCTACCGTATGTTTTTGTTTTCTAGATGAAATCCGCAGAGCAGATTTCTTCCTTCCACAGAGGACAGGCACTTGGCTCGGGATGGAGACCTTCCCAGGCTATGCGGCATAGATTCGAGGAGCTGAGACACACCCCAATTCTCCGATCCCACTAGAATCACACTGGGGACGTTGTCTCAGAAGGCTTGGCCCAAGGTTTTGAGAGGAATACATGGTTTGCCCTTCTGTGGTTACAAGAGACCAGCATGTCAGCACAGTCGGCCTCCAGACTCAGATCACATCCCACCCTACCCCACCCCACTCCACCCCGCAGTGACGGAGCAGCCAGTCTTTGACTATCCAGATTCTCTGCTGTAGTTGCCTTTTGCTCATCATGTAAAATAAGTGTTAGGGGTTTTTGATCCTACTGCACGTATTGGCTTTGTGGGAGCCTAGGCAGCTTGGATGCTCACCTTACTAGACCTGGATGGAGGTGGGTGGTCCTTGGACTTCCCACAGGGCAGGGAACCCTGATTGCTCTTTGGGCTGAAGAGGGAGGGGGACTTGATTGGGAAAGGGGGAGGGAAAGGGGAGGCGGCGGTGGGGATGAGACAGAAATCTTTAATAAATAAATAAAAAAAAACTGGGAAAAAAAAGAGTAGATATAAAGAGACATGTCACTTATTAGCGTTACCAGAATCCTAGAACCAAGCCAGCGGAGCCCCTGGAAATCACCTAGATTCCCATCCGAGTCCTACTGAGCGTCAGTATGACCCGTGACCTTTAGAGCACAGCTTGGCATATCTAAGGAAAGCCCCGGGGATCATTCCTTTGCAGTTAAACTACCTCTAGACTTGGCTATTTCTGAGATATTCCTGGGTTATTATTGGGGTTTTCAAGAGCTAGAGGATTTGGGGTTACTTGTTCCAGGCACGTTTCAGTGTTCATCAATACTCCCATAGTGTCATGGAATGCCACAAACACTTTGAAATTCCCTTTGGGGTGCATAGCCACAGTAGAGCCTAATGCAAGAGGGGACCCCAGGAGTCAGAATGCGATTTCTAAAGCAAACATGTGTGCTGAATTTTCCAAATGTTGGAAGACCTGGCAAAGATGAATGCCTTATGGAGCCGTGAGGGTATCGCCTGGAGAACTGGCTCAATATCCCGCAGTGCTGCCATCAGAGAGACAACAAAGATGGTTCCTCCACCCTCAAGACAAAGATGTCAGCCAACAGAATCCCTTCCTGCATGGCTTCAGCGTCAAGGCGCCCACTCTCTTTCAGGGTACGCCTGTCCCCTGTCCTCTCTGGTTACTTCAGACCGTTTCATGCCACTGTGGTAATAACTGTTCTAAGACCCTGGAAACTCGGGTGGACCCAGAGTTCCTGGAAATACAGATTTTACGGAGTTCCTGGCTTTCAGCTTAACAAAGGCTCACATGCTATACAAACCCGAGTTCGAATCAGACAGGAACATACAGAGGTTCCTCTGGCCAGGCTTTTCCCCGGTGGCCACACTCACCATTAAGTCATGCAGAAACCCCGGTGTCTGGGGTCCTTCTGCTATAAACATGAACTCCCATGACAAGTCCTCCCTTCGTCAGCTCTGACCTACTGCAGGGCTAGATCAGCGAAGACGCAGGTTCCGGATCTAATAAGCACAGGGAGGCTGAGCATTGCTACCTAAAAAGTATGTTCCTTGGAGCAGAGTGCTTGAACATTAAATGGCTTAAGACTACTTTGTATATGCAAAGTATTATTTAAATGCAGCTGTATTGTTTAAATTAAACCAAACTTTCCAGCAGTAGCGGAATGGTGAAGTACTTGTTCACTACGCACGAATCCCTCACCTCGGCTGGCTCGGGGGTGCTGTAAACCCACACAGGATCTCAGCAGAGAGGAGCGTCATCGTGTAGACTGAAGGAAACAGACCCAGAAAGCTGAGGCCACTTATCTCAAGACCCTAGACTCTATTCTTCTACTACGCCTTCATCTCTAAACCTCAGAAGGCATCTGAGCCTGCCAGTGTGATATTACACGGCTGGTCTCTGACCTGACAGATGCGGACTCCTGTAAAATTCAGCATTTATTTTTTCCAAGATTTTTAAAAAGATATAATTAGTACAAAAGCCCTACGGAAATGAGCTTGCCCGATAACCTTCCTCAGTGCCAGCGGTGTGTTCAGAGTTACCGCCGTCTTAACTAATTGCTTGTAATGTGGCTCGGGCCGGTCAGGCCTATTAGAAGCCATTAGCGAGGGTCCTGTGGCTTTCCCGTACAACGTTTTCATCCCCACAGCTCACATTTTGACGGCATCTGTTACTCTCTGGAAGAAAGCCAGCGTTTCTGAGTAAAATGTATCAGTCCTAACAATGTGGATATTATTATTCCAGAAAGCCAACCGAGAATTCAACAAGACCTTACAGTAATGACCAGAACTGGGAAACGAGAATTTTCTTTGGCACAGCGGGGAGAAAAGCTTTTCGCTGGGGCGATGAGAACGAGAGACCTGAGCATCCCTCTGTAAGCTGGAAATAAACGACCGAGGGTCTATGTGCTCAACAAACATCTGGGGTTGCAGCTTAATCCAACGGAAGTCCTTATGATCTTGGGTCACACGGTGTCTACCGGCCAGTCAGACCATGTCAAGGTTCACCAGCTGATGAAAAGTCAAACTTTTTTAGGGAAAGTTTTCTCCTCTCTGGTTCTACATTTTGTTGAGTGAAGCAGCTACAGCACAATCAGATTCAACTGGCTGTCACCTCCGTGTCCCTCTGAAGGGCGAGCATCCCCTTCTTCACTCATGCCACACAGTCTCCAAGGGAGCCTTGTCAAACCTGTGACTTCCATCACTGGCTATCCTCAGTTAATGAATGTTTTGGGTTTATTTATTATTTATCTTTATTTTATGCATATTAGTGCTTGCTGGCATGTATATATGTTAAATGTGTACCTGATGTTCACAGAGGCCAGAAGAGGGCACTGGATCCCATGAAACTGACGTTGTGGGCCACTGTGGGGTGCTGGGAATAGAACCTGGGTCCTCTGCAAGAGCAGCAAGTGTTCTTAACTGCTGAGCTATCTCTGCTAAGGAGCCTTTGTTGTACCTACTACATAGCAGGTGCCATTCACACTTCTTGGAAACCCTACTGAAGAGAAAAGGCTAAATGTTATCTTTGTGTGGTACACACATTATATTCTCCCAGTACCTGTGGGCAAATGTCTGGCAAGAAGGATTTACTGTAGCACAGAGTGTCATGTGGAGGCAGGGGCATGACAGCAGTGCCATGTGCCTGGGACGCGTCACTTCTAGGAAGCAGAGAGCAGACAAGTAGTTGTCCTGGGCTAGGAAATTCAAGGCCCCAGGGACCCACTTCCTCCACCAAGGCTTGCCTTGTGTGACCTTCCCAAACAGCTTTGCCAGTGGCGGAACCAAGTGTCCAAATCTATGAGCCTAAGAGGGACATTTCCCATACAAACCATAATAGTTTATTTTTGAGTTCCTGTTTGCACCCCGGACTAGTGTCCCCTGTTTCCCTTTAGGCCCTGTGCCCTCGGATAAGAAGCCAGCCTGAGGTGATCCCGTCTCCTCACCCCCAGCCTGAGGTGATCCCGTCTCCCCATCACCAGCCTGAGGTGATCCTGTCTCCCCATCACCAGCCTGAGGTGATCCCGTCTCCTCACCAATGGCCTGAGGTAATCCCGTCTCCTCACCCCCAGCCTGAGGTGATCCCGTCTCCTCACCCCCAGCCTGAGGTGATCCCGTCTGCCCATCACCAGCCTGAGGTGATCCCGTCTCCCCACCACTGGCCTGAGGTGATCCCGTCTCCCCACCACCGGCCTGAGGTGATCCTGTTCTCCTCACCCCCAGCCTGAGGTGATCCTGTCTCCTCACCACTGGCCTGAGGTGATCCCGTCTCC